GAACCCGGGCAAGATACTTAACCCCATTGCCAACCCCCCCCCAAAAAAAAAGTAACCTAAGAACAGCAGGTTCAATTGATGTCACTCTACCAAGTGCAACCTCTAACCATTGGGGAACAGGAAGCTTTCAACATAAACTTTCAACATAAGGAGACCTAGCAGAAAATATTGAAACCACGTGGGAATAGGTGAGGTCTCTGTCCTGTTTGCTACCAAGAATGTTTGCTGCAAGCCTCCAGAGGATGAGCTTAACTCCCAATGCATTTATTCAATTACAAAGAGCAGCTATTTTCCCCACCAGTGCAAACAGTCTATAGAACAGGAAAAATGACAAAATAATGACCAAGAGAATGACACTCCATCTCCCACCTCTGGGCATTTGTACTGGCTGTCTGCGATGCCTGTAATGCTCTCTCTGTTTCCCTCTGCCTCCCCATTTTCCTGGCTTCTTTCAAGTCTTAGCTTCTGCAAGAAGCCTTCCCTGGTCTCCTGTCTTCCCTTGGAGATTACCTCCAGCTAACCCTTTAGACAGCCTGTTGGTTTATACTTATTTACAGATTGTCTCCTCCGTTAGACTGGGAGCTGCTTGAGGGCAGGAACTGTTTTTACCTTGCTTTATATTTCCAGCACTTAGCACAGTGCCTTGCACATAGTAGGTACTTTAATAGTAGCTTTTAATAGCTAGCATTCATAGAGTGTTTAAGGGTTTGCAAAGCACTGTATCTCATCTGTTCCTTACAACAATATTGGGAGGTAGATGCCGGTATTATTCCCATTTTACAGATGGAAAGGTAACAAATATTTATTAAGCCCCTCCTATGTGCCAGGCACTGTGCCAAATTCTTTAGAAATATCTCATTTGATTCTCACAATGACCCTATGAGGTAGGCGCTACTCATGACCAAAACAATGATTATAATTCCCATTTTGCAGATGAGGAAACTGGTGCAGAGAGGGGTTAAGTGACTTGCCCAGAGTCACCCAGATAGCGTCTGAGGTACAATTTAAACTCAGGTCCTTCTGACTCCAGGCGCAGCGCTCTGTGTACCGTGGCGCCGTCTGGGGAGGAGGCAGCTTCAGAAAGGCTGAATCACTTGATTATGAGCTGCATGTAAGGGTCAGAGGTGGGACCGTAGCTTTGGAGCTAGAAGGGACCTTACAGGTCACTGAGTCCAATCCTTTCACTTGACAGAAGAGGAAATTGAGGCCTGGAGAGCTGGCTTGGCTGACTTGGGCTCAACAGCTATGTTTGAGGTGGAATTTGAACCCAGGTCTTTCTGACTCTAGGCCCAGCACCTCCTCCTCCATGCTGCCTCTCTGTATAGCCACCTGGTTGTGTATCTCTGGACATAGGGGGAGCGGCCTGACCAGACAGTCCAATCCTGGCCAAACTCACCTTGAGTCCAGCTCCTCTGGGCAGGGGTTGGGATGTACTGAGCTCTACCCTATCGCTGGGGATTCACCCCGAGATATTACTTCACAACGAACATTTTCAAGGTTAATAGATTGAAAAAAGTGACCTACTTTTAATCCATTTGTGTAAATTTTTAGTCTGTCGTTCCTGATGTGTGGTTATTTCCAACTTCAGGATTAACGTTCCGCTAGAGTTTCTTTAAAAAACCCAGCCTCGCCAAGGCACTGATGCTCAGAGGCAGTCTCTGAGAGGGAACAGATGGGATGTCTACAATGCCCCTCCCTCCTGCTCGGCTGAGCCAAGGTACCCCATCTTGGAAGACTCAGATCCAGGCTTCCCCGTGCCCCCTGCCACGGACCCGTCCTCTGCAGCTCTGCTGGGGCAGGCCTCGTCCTTCACTGGGGTACTGAGAACAAGCTGCTGCCCTCGTGGGCTGGCCCATGGGGCCTGTCCAGACCACACAGTAAACTCCCTTACTCACAGACAGATAGGTCTTTACCTTTCTGTATGCCACTTGGGGGGTGGGGAATGTAAGGACAGAATGTCAGTGCTGAGGGGGAGACCTTAGAATATGGAGTGTCAGAGCTGAGAAGGGCCTTAGAAAGAGCTGGGAGGGGCCTTAGAACAGGGAGTGTCAGAGCTGTGAAGAGCCTTAGAATTGGGGATGTCAGAGCTGAGAGAGGCCTTAGAACAGGGAATGTCAGAGCTGGGAAGGAGCTTAGAACAGGGAGTGTCAGAGCTGGGAGGGGCCCTGGAACAGAGAATAGTAGAACCAAGAATTTTAGAATTGGAAGGCACTTGAAAATACAGAACATTAGAACCGGAAGAGACCTTAGAGGTCAACTAGTCCTACAGCCTCTTGTTACAGATGAGGAAGCTGAGGCACAGAGAAGGTCAGTTCTTTCCCCAGACCCTCTTGTTAATGAGGAGCTGTCTCTGGTTGCATCCAATTGAATGACAGAGGCCACTAGGTGGCACCACAGTGCCCAGAGTGCTGGACAGGGACTCAGAAGACCTGATTTCCAAGCCATTCTTAGATGCTTGTTAGCTGGGTGAACCTGAGGAAGTCATTGAACTCTTGTCTGCCTCAGTTTCCTCATCTGTAAAATAGGGATAATAATAACACCTCCCTCCCAAGGTTCTTGTGAAGATGAAAGTGGGATGATATTTGTAAAGTGCTCTGCAACCCTTAAAGAGACCCCTAACTGCCAGCTAGGTTAATATAATTAGCAGATAACATGCATCCTGTATTAGGTCTTTCACCAAAAGACATTAAGGGCCTTTGCTATTCTAACAATAGTCGTTCTGTGGAAACGGGAAAGCTGAAGCTGGCACGTAGGCAACCAGCTACCAAATGGTCAGGGGGAGGGTGCCAGGGCCGGCCTGTGGGGGCCTGACTCTATGACCATCTTTATCGCTTCTCGGGACTGATACTTCAGTAGGCTAGCTGCAGCGGTGCTTGTGAGCCAAAGGAGAATGATAGAATCAGAACATCGGAGCTAGGAGGCCCTTAGTGGTCACTATGGCCAACTTTCTGCTTTTATATGTAAAGGAAACGAAGGCCCCAAGAGGGGAGGCCCCCTAGTGGCATTACTAGGACTTTGAACCCAGGATACTAACCTTCCCCTGCCCCAAAGTCCTTTGCTCTTTCCCTGCCCCCCTGCTGCCTCTCTGTCCTTCACTCGTCAACCTTTAAGGGTGGCCAGCCCCCCCTGGGCACCACCTGAGGGCTTGGGCATAGTCTCAAGAGAAGCCAAGCATAGTAAGAAGCTTCTCCGAGAAAAACAAGCAAACAATCTAGGAGCATGGGGTGGCTGGGAGTCCCAAGAAAAGCACGCTGGGAGAGCTCCCAAGAGAAGAAGCTGGACATCTGCAAGGCCTCCTGTTTCATTTCCCAAATCCCCATAGCTGCTGGATGGACCTCATGCCTCCTGGGAAACAGAGATGCCAGGATGGATCTGTCTTGCTGCTTTGATTGGAGAGGCCATCCCTTAAAGAGACAGCAGTGATCCATATCATGAAACCCTGCCTAAATTTTTAATATGATTGATCTGAGCGTAACAGAAGCCAATGTAGCCTGGGTGAGAAAAGACAAGGCCCCACTGGACACAGAGCTTCACAGCTGCCCTGAAAGGGATCTGAGGAAGGCAGGGGCCAGATGGCCCTCGGTGAGGAAGGTACCTTCCCTGAAGGCACTGTCCTTGAAGCCTCTGGGTGGTGGGATGGGAAAAGGGCAGCAGAAAGGAGTGACTCTGTGTCCTGGAGGGCAGAGGACCCAGGTTCCAATTCTGACCCTGCCATTATTCCCTGACCCCCCCAGGGTATCTTTAGGATTTGGGGGCTGGGATCAATGGCTTCTGAAGTTCCTTCCAGATCTAAATGTAGGATCCTATGACTTCTGGATGCAAGACAGAATTGATCACGTTGAACACTAGCTCTGTTGTTTTTTAGCTGTGGGACCTTAGTCAAAAATCCTATTTACAGCCTCAGTCTCACCATCTTTAAAATGGGATCTGTTGTTGAGTCGGTCTGACTCTCTGTGACCCCATATGAGGTTTTCTTGGCACAGATAGTGGCTTGCCATTTCCTTCTCCAGCTCATTTTACAGATGAGGAAACTGAGGCAAAGAGGGTTAAGTGACTTGCCCAGGGTCACACAGCCAGTAAATGTCTGAGGCCAGATTTAAACTCAGGTGTTTCTGATTCCAGGCCTCTGCACTCTATCCACTTTGCCACCTAGCTGCCCTTAAAATGGGACAGATGATCTCTAATATTCATTCTGGCTTTATCTCTATGGTCATTGTAAGTTTTATTTTTAAAACTGCTACTGGTCTGGGTTGGATTCAATGTCTCCAGAAGTCAGGAGCCCTTAGCCTCAAAGCATCATAGATTTGGACCTGGAGGGGATTTCAAGGTCAGAGGTCCAAAGATTTAGTGTTGGAAGGGACCTTACAAATCATCTCATCCAACTGTCTCATTTGACATTAAAGCCCAGAGGGGTACAGTGACTTGCCTGAGGTCACACAGCTAGGAAGTACTGGAAGTAGTATCCCAAACTTCATTTTCTGACTCTGAATCCATCGTACCGAGCTGCCCGCTCCCCTGGGAATCCCTGCCATAGCATCCTAGATTGTCAGAACAACCTAGGATTTGATGAAAGGGGAACAGGCAGCTGGATTTGGCCACGCTGGATTCGGAGTCAGAAAATGTGGGTTGGGATGCCACCTCTAATGCTGTGGAACCTCAGAGGTTAAATAGCTCACCCATGGCTGCCCAGGTTTAGGTGGCAGACTCAGTTTCAAAAAGGGTGGTGAACTCAAAGGGTTGGACACGCCCCTTGAAGCCAGACCCCAACCACAGCTTAGGGGATGAAGTTTCCCTGCTATTTACTGAAGGTCTGGCACACAGGCCAAATGGCCAGCAGGAAAGAATGATCCCTCTTTGCTTTTTCCTCGTGGCTATCTCCAGAAGGAGAGCTTCACATAGGTGTGGTCAGAGGACACTGGCCTCCTGGTGTCCCTCGATTTCCATGCATTTTCCTGGCCTGGAATTCTCTTCTTCCTCACTTAGGATTCCCAGCTTCCTTGGCTTTCCTCAGGTCTCAGTTAAGATCACACCTTCTGCAAGAAGCCTTCTCTGGTCTTCCTTAATGTTCGTGCCTTCCCTCTGTGACAATCCAATTTAGCCTGCCGCTGTCTTGTCTGTAAGTAGTTGGGTTTTTTGTTGTCTCCTCCATTAGACGGGCAACTCCTTGAAGACAGGGGCTGTGTTTGGCCTTTCTTGGTATTTCCAGCACTTGGCATAGTGCCTGGCACATAGTAAGCATTTAATAAATCCTTGCTGACTTGACTCGACTTAATCTAACAGGCAGTGGGGCTATATTATCTGAGTGGTACTTTTAAATTAAATTACATTAACATTTTTAATATAACTGTCATGGGGCTGCACTTGGGCACTTCTCCTAGAGCTGGGCATACATTCTGGCCTCCTGCTAAAGGACATGTATGACATAGCATCTCCTAATTGGTCACTTGGTCCCTAGGCCTGGGGTTACACTGAAGATGACTCAGCCAGGAGGAGCTGCCCACTCAATAGGCCATCAGAGAGCAAACAGCTTTATTTCTCTTCTACTTTGGCTCTCTTCCTGACTTTCCCTTTGAATTCTAGTGGTAGGGGGCAGAACATTTTTCTCCCCTCTCACCCAGTGGTAATGGTGACCCACAACTCAGGTTTACAGCAATGAGAACAGTTTGCCTAGGTGAAACAGGAAGTCTGACTGCTTTCTTCTACATTTGTGTTTCTTCCTGGGCACAGGTCTGCAAACAGCAACCAGCCATCCTGAACAATGCATATTCTCAGCCTTGGTGGTGACTACCTTGTGAATGCAAGCATTCCTGAGTTCCTGAATTAATTCTGGCCACCCAGCAGGAGGTGTTTCCTGAAACTACATTGCTTCTTAGCGGGCAAGGTGACCGCCAGCCAGATCATCCTGAACTTAAAAGGAGTAAAGAGCTATCCCTGACTGGCCAGCAGAGGTGGAACTTAGGAATTGCTCAGACAAGTGGAGGTCTGAGGTGAATGTCTACTCAGCAGTCTTACACCACACCTTTGCCTTTGGGAAAGATTATAATGATGGGGTTGGGTTATGGTTGTGTGTTTTAATTAGGTATCTGTTAATGAATGCTTATGGATCTTTTTCTGCTTTAAGCATTTCTTTTGTAGTTGAGAGAATGAAAAAAGCTCTCTTATACCTGATAAGTATTGCATATTTAGTATCTTTTCTAGAAAGTGCTCCTAAATCCCTTTATGAAGAGGTCCTAGATATGTCAGACCTAAGCATTGTTTAGAGTTGGGGGTCAGCATGCTGTGGCCCTTGGGCCAAATTTAGCCCACCAGGTTCTTAGGTGTACAAAAACAGGAGATGGGCTGGATTTGGCCCTTGGGGTGCAGTTTTCTGACCCGTGGCTTAGAAATGTTCTCTGGAGTTCTGATTTAGGGAAGGGGCATAAATCACCAAAGAGATAAGAAAAGCCTGACTCCTCTTTTGGTGAACACAGGATGACTTTGGGCCCTGTGTGAGTGCAGAACACAGGGCCCTTGTGGGAAAGGGCTTTCTGAGGTCACACCTCATGACCTGGTCCATATTTGTCCTACGTTTGGAGCTAGCTTGTTTGTCCTAGATTTGGGTAAGTTTAGAATTCCATTTGGAATGCTCCGATGTTTTTTAGTGATAGAAATGGGATACCTTATGTGTCACAGGTACGCACTGGAAATATTTTGTTAGGACTTCCATCTGGATTTCCTTGTGCATTGGAAGAGATCCAGTGAAGAAATGTATGGGAGGAATTTTCACCATGGATTGTTTGATTTATCACACGAAGGTAAGGGACTGAATTCTAAGATTTGTTACAAAGACCCCTCATGATCTAGGACCTCATTTGGGGCTACAAATTACTTTCCTTTCAAGAAAAGAACTATTTTTAATTTTTTTCCCTTTTTTCCGCTTTTGCTAGGGTGGTTTTTATAATTCCAATTTTGTTTTCTCCTAATAATTTTGGGTTGGGACAGACACTAAAAAGCAATGGGCAGGAGATAGTCTATGAGAACTTGGTAAAATGTTGTTTGCTTATTACATTTGTCTAGTTTTGTATATGGAGTTAAGTATAATCTCCAGACCCACCAGGTAGGTTAGGTTTTGGCCCTCACAATAGTGTTAACTTTGGGATTTTAAAAAAACAACGCTGAATACAATGCTGGAACCCTTGGCATGGCATTCATGAGACCATTAAGAATCATACCACATGGGCTCTGGTGAGATTCTTTAGTTCAAGGCATTGTGGGAAGCACATAAAAGGATGTTGGGGCTTCCCTGGAACCTCAGTGAGCTATCCAGGGTTGGGAATATGGGCAAATGTTCCCCAACACCCCAGATGATCTGATGGTGATATCAAATATAATGGGAATGAATGAAGTTAGACATTACCAGTGTGTTATTTCTTGAGTCAGAGGACCTGGGTTTAAATTCTGACTCTACCATTAACTTCCTTATGTGAACTTAGAAAGGTCACAGCCTCATTTCCAATGTTAATGCCTGTAATGTAGTTTTCCTTGTCTTACTTTCCCCTTTTCTTTTATCCTTTGGAACATCAGAGCCTTGAAGACAAGGACCAGGTCATTTTGTATATCCAGAGCCTAACATAGTACCTGGCACATAGTAGACTGGTTAAATTGAATTAGGTTCCAGTTTTCTTTCCTAAAATGAGGAGGCTGGAAGAGACGGCCTCCCTAGCTCTTAGTCTATCTTGATGACAATGTCATAGCCATGTTTTCTCGGTCAAGATCCAAAGCTTTCTCCACTATCTCGCTTTCTAGGAAATTTTTGGTGTACTGCATTTTTAGCTGAACGAGACATTTCCTTGGATTCTCAACATGTTTTCTCTTGGTAAATGTATTTCTCAAAGCATTTTTCCTAAAGTATGAGTCTGACCACACCACTCTCCTATTCAATAAATTCCATTGGTTCCCTATTACCTCTAGGTACAAATATAAACCCTCTGTTTGTAATTTAAAGCTCTTTGCACCCTGGCCCCACTCTACCTTTCCAGTCTCATTACCTATCAATCTTCTTCACATACTCTATAGTCCAAACAAATCAACTTTCTTGCTGTTTCTTACATGCAGGACTTCATTTCCCACTTCCGTGCCTATGCACTGGCATCCCTCATGCCTGGCATGCCCTCCCTCCTCATCGCTGCCTCTTGGAATTCTTCACCTCCTTCAAGAATCAGCTGAAGCATCATCTTCAGTATGACGCCTTTCCTTGTCATGCTAGAGACTAGCCCACTAGCCAAGTCACCTTGTATCTCCTCTGTGTCTTATATCCATATATGCTGTCTCCCTGATTCAGTGGAAGTTCCTTGAGGGACACACCTGGTACATAACAGGAGCTTGATGAATGCTTAATTGATTGGTTGATTAATTAATTGATTAACCAATGGCTGATTGGTGGTCCAGGTCATAAATTATGTCAAAATTTCATTTTGCCTTTGATAGTTTTTTCCTCTAAAACTCTCATCCTCTTTTTTCTTTTTTACAACACTTTTATTTTAGGTCCCTTTTTTCAATTACTAAGCATTTATTTTCTCCCCCTCCCAATTTCTCCCCTACCTCCATTGCAAAAAACAAAGAAAAATCCGACCTTGCCCTTTTGTCTTTAGTGGAACTGTTATTGTTTTTTTTTTTGTTGTTGTTGTTGTTGTTTCAGGCAATAGGGTTAAGTGACTTGCCCGGGGTCACACAGCTAGTAAGTGTTATGTGTCTGAGGCTGCGTTTGAACTCAGGTCCTCCTGAATCCAGGGCTACGCCACCTAGCTGCCCCTAGTGGAACTGTTAGACAGAGACTTAGGTGTTTCAGCCCACTGTGCCTGGCATGTGCAAGGTGCTTAATAAATGGATCTTGACAACTTGACTGTTGGTCGATCCAAGGAGGAAGGATTATAGCCTCTCCTTGTTCAGATTCCTCATTCACTTTGAGGTTTACGAAGCACTTTCTCCACCATCATCTACTGAACCAGTCAGTGCAAGGTTAGCATTTCCATTTACAGATGAGGAAACTGAGGCACAGATAATTTGAGTGACTTGTCCAAGGTCACACAGGAAGGATATTAGGACCCTCCCTAAATCATGGGCTGGAAGGGACTTCAGAGTCCATCAACTAGAACCCCCTAATTTACAGATGAAGGATCTGATCATCCAGATCTGGTCCTAGATCTGTGGACAGAAAGGACCTCCGAGGCCATCCAGTCCTATTCCCTCATGTTACAGATGAAAACACTGAGCTCCCTGAAGTGAAGTGACTTGACCAGGGTCACATGTCAAAGCATGCATTTGATCACAATCTCCTGGCACTGCCACATACCCAAAGCTTGGTTCCACTGGATTTGCCCAGAGCCTCTAGTAAGAGCTGACTTCTGACTCTAATTCTGGAAGTGAGGTTTTCCTGCAGAGATCCAAGATCACTGGGTGCTAGCACCCCCACCCCCACGATTGAGAGGAAGAGTCAGTGCACTTACGGAGGAAATACTCTGCTGTGTCGGCTTCATAATCTGCATCCTCAGGGAAGTGATCAATTTGCTTACACAGACCTTTAAAATTCCCTGAAAAACAAGGAAGGAGAAAACAAATGAGTATATCCAGAGCACCAGGGACCCCAGCTCCCACTTGTCTCTTTCTGTCTTCATTACCTCTTAAAAACCCATTGCCCCCTCTTCTCAAAGAACAATCCCCAAACGTTCCCGTTGGTTCATGCAGGCATCGGGCAGTCTAGGACCTGGGGCCCTGGAGAGAGGCTCTAAGGGCCTGGCTTCTATGCTTAGAGCTATTCTCCTGGGGGTTATCTGTGCCTTGATTAGCAGGAAGAGTTTTTTATCTTGGTCTGAGGACTGTCACTGAACTGGCAATGAAGTCCTAGTCAACTCGATGTAGCTGAGGCCGTAAATTCTCTGTTGTGAACAGTGAGGGAGGTAGGGCAGCTAAGCCAGGGACCAGGAAGGGCAGCACTGGCTGCTAGTAGTCCTGAGGTGAGGGGGTCTACTGTGATGTCTTTCTCCCATTCTGAGACAGTCTGCAGGCCACAGATGAAAGCACTCCAGGGCTGGGGGTTTGCAAAGTGGCCTCTACACGGTGGCAGCTGAGCTAATTATGTTGGCAGGAGGGAGAGCGAGAGCACCAGGTGAAATCTCTTCCTGGAAGATCAGTGCTCCTTTCTGATGTTTCTGAGCAGATTTCCTTTGTTGCCTGTTTGTGTTTTTCTGTGCTGTATGTGTCTCTGGATAAGTCTCTTGCAAAGGACTGTGTTATAAAATGCCTGAAGTCTCGGGCACATTAAACATCTAAGGGTTTGGATTATGATGACTCTATCGCAAAGTCTTAAAACATTTAAAACATTTTTAGTTCCAGATTCTCTCTTCCTCCTTCTCTCTCTGCCTCCTTCTCCAACCCATAAAGAAGGCAAGAAAAATGATATGAAGTCATGCAAAACTCATTTCCACATTAGCCATGTTCTGGTGGGAATAAAAAGAAAAAGAGAGGAAGAGAAAAAAAATAGCTTCAGTCTGCACTCTGAGACCATCAGTTCTCTATCTGGAGGATCATAAAGTCTTTGGTAACTCTGAACCCTGTCTTCTGTTGTTCTGCTGGTCAGAGGTCACAGGACCCTAACAATGGTTGAGGAATGGGATATAGAGGTTATTCAAATCCTCCAGTTATGAGAATTACCATACAGACATTCGTGAACAATGAAAAACCTTAGTGTAACAACAAAACATGGAAATGACACTGAATGCTCATTCAACAGTCAACAAAATTTTACAGCCATATCCTGCCTCGCCCAGACAAATGTCATTCAGCAATAATACCATTGCTGTGGTAGAACTGAATCTGACTATAATGCCGTTGGGTTGATTGCCTTGTATGCAAAGGAGATAATTCCATGAAGTATAGAAATAACCATCCCCTGAAATAGGCTGTTTCACCTACAATTGGGTTTTGTGGGCTGATTAGAAGTGTTAAATAGGGTGAGGTCACATCAGATCCTATTATGTGCCATATACTGTGTTACATCCCAAGGATCCTCAAATCTGAAAGGTGAGATGAAAAAGGCACAAAAATCGCTTTGAAAAATAAATTGTAAATATATATTTAGTTTATATATATGCACATATAATATAAACATTTATATAATAGTATGTGCATATTATTATATATAATTATATTATATTAGCTGGGCTGGGCTGAACTACATTATATATGTGCGCACACACACACATATATGTATACACATATGCACATATATAAAATAAAAGCCATGAGAGGCAGTATGGTATAGTGGATAGAAAGCTGGCCTCAGAGTCGGGGAGACCTGAGTCTGAATACTGCTTGACACACAGGAAATCAAAGAAAGCTTCATGGAGGAGATGGCATTTGATCTGAGTCTTGAAGGTTAGATGGGACTTTAACTGGTCTAGATTAGGAGGAGGCCATTCTAGGCCTAGAGAACAGGATAAGCAAGAGGCTGCCTAAGGTCGGGAAAGTGTGAGATGTGTTCATGCAACAGTGAGCTGGAGAAGGAAATGGCAAACCGCTCTAGTATCTTTGCTGAGAAAACCCCAAATGGGGTCACAAAAGAGTCAGACGTGACCGAGAATGATTAAACGACAAAAGAGGTGTATCTAAAACTGTAAATGCCAGTTGGATACAGATTGCGAAGGCCTGTGGAAATCAGGCTTAAGCATTTGGACTTTATTTGGTAGGAACAGGGAGCCATCAGAAGTGTTGAAGCATGACCACATCTGTGTAATTGGGCAGGG